GTAGTAGAGAGAGAGAGAGAGAGAGAGAGAGGAGGTATAAATATTGAGAGAGAGAGACAAAGAGGGTGAGGGGGCTCGATAAATAGTCTTTTCCTACTTGAATGAGTTGGCCAACAATAAACCACATCTCCAGTGCAGCAACCATAACTTGATACCCGCCTATTAATACAACACAAGCCCCACAAACCCCAAACACTCTGTCTCCTTCGTTTACCATGCCTCTCTCTACCAGGTCCTCAGGTTCTGCACTCCAGTTCTTCAGCTTAATTTGTACGATTTGGCTTCAATCCATTAATGGCACAAACTCAGATTTTCCAGCTTATTCCTCACTCCTCAAAAAACATCTCTCCATCTCTCAAGTCCAACTGAACTACCTTGCAGCTGCTTCAGATGCTGGTAAACTCTTTGGTTGGATCTCAGGCTTAGCAGCAAAACACCTCCCTCTCTCTCTAGTCATCTTTATAGGCTCGGCGCTCGGCCTAATTGGCTATGGCCTCCAATACCTCTTACTAGAACATAAGATCTATTCTCTCTCTTACTTCCAAATCTTCTTCCTGTTTATGCTAGCAGGTAATGGCATATGTTGGCTCAACACAGTATGTTACTTGGTGATCTTGAAAAACTTCTCTCACTATAGTGGTATTGTTCTTGGGCTTTCTACTAGTTATCAAGGCCTAAGTGCAAATATATATACTGCTTTGGCTGGTGCGATTTCGCCACGGAAATTTTCCAGCAAGACTTATCTTCTTCTCAATAGCGTAATTCCGATAGGGCTCAGTATTGTGAGTATGCCGTTTATGCGAGTAATCGAGGGTCCGGTGCATGATATTAAGGGCAAATTAGCAGTGATTTTTATTATCACTGTGGCTACTGGTGCATACACAACAGTGGGTAGTATTCGGCCCGAGTTCGGGTATCTTCGACCGAGATTGTATGCGACAGGTTTGGTGTTGCTGTTGCTTTCTTTGTTACTGGTTCCCTTGTGGGCGTCTTTGAAAGAAGTTCTTAAGGAGAAATGGTGCTTTCAAAGAGAGATGAAGGTGTTCACAGTGGGGGAAGAGGAAGTGGGGGTTGAAGAGAGAGAAAGTGGAAGTGGGTTTGGTGAGAAAAGTGGGGAAGAGAGAGAAAGTGGTGGTGGCATAAGGGAGGACTATGGGGTGACAAAGCTGATGTCGAGTGTTGATTTTTGGTTGTATCTGGGGGTTTATTTTTGTGGCGCAACGGTTGGGTTGGTGTATTTGAATAATCTTGGGCAAATTGCAGAGTCTCGCGGTCACACCAAGACTTCAGCCTTGGTCTCTTTAGCGTCTTCTTTCGGCTTCCTGGGGCGAATTTTCTCATCAATCCTGGACTGGTTTTCTCAGTAAGATCATATTATTCATTTGATGTGTGTTATATTGGTCAAGTTTAATTTCTTCTAGTCCCATCGAGTATTTTTTCAGCACATATTGAACACATTCTAGTCAACTTGTGCATTCCTTTTTCGTCCTTTCAATGGAAGAGAGAGAGAGAGAGACCAACAATACTGATACAAACAAAATCGAGAGAGAGAGAGAGAGACCAACAACACTGATCCAAACAAAATCAAGAGAGAGAGACTGACGAACGACACTGATCCAAACAAAATCAAGTTACAAAAAATCAACAGGCATGTCATTTTATACTAAATCCCTTAAACTGCATGTCATTTAATTCCAATTCCCCTATACAAATTGTATCTACTACCAAGAAACCCCAAGACTTAATCCAAACTGATAAATTTTCTCTCTCTTATGCAGCAAAAACAGTTCAAGACCAGCTTACATCACACTATTCATGGTGCCCATGACTGGCGCATTCTTCTTACTCCTGAGTTCAAGCACTACATGTCTATACATGAGCACAGCCATAGTAGGCATATCAAGTGGGGCCATCAGCTCGATCGCAGTTTCGACGACGTCGGATCTCTTTGGGCAAAAGAATTTTGGCCTAAATCACAACATTGTCGTTGCAAACATCCCGATCGGTTCGTTCCTCTTCGGATACCTGTCTGCGATCTTTTACGACCGGAAAGCCCATGTATCCGGCCGATGCATGGGTGCCGATTGCTTCAGGGGCACATTCATCGTTTGGGGCTCTGTGTGTTCTCTTGGAACCATCCTCAGTTTCTTCCTCTACCTTCGAACTCGAAAACACTACATGAGGTCGAGGTAGTGGACACGGTGGCGGGTAGCTTGGGGGCATTTTGGTAATTTTATAACATGGTTTACGTGAACCAGGGGTGACCCATCTTACACAAAGATTCCATGGCATGGGTACTTTTGAAATTTTACGCCCGGAGCAGGATGATTTATTGTGCCCATGAGATAAACTTTTGCCATGTATATGTATATGTTTTATTTTTTGGATACTTGATAATTGAAAAAAAGAGAATATATACTTCACTGTTTTTTTAATAATATGAATTTCGTGAGAGATGTCTATTTTACATAATGATTTGAAATTTATAATCTTGTTAAAAAACGAAAAATATTAATGGGATTGCATATTATGAGAATATTTATATGTCAATACAAGGATGTTACAATTGCTACTAGCTATTAGATGTCAAATAGGATGATTTGGGTGGTGATGTAGAGGTCGATATTTTTTTTAAACTTTAAACCTAGTCAATGATACACCCACAATCACGTAATTTAAAATCAGATAGAAGTGATTGTGATATTAAAAGTAAATAGCTTCTTAATTTACTTTTCAGGTGAACTTTTCATGCTGCAAAAAATATATATATATATTTATTTATTTATTTATTGGCTTGTTTTACTTCATATACGAGGATCACTTTGGTTCGAACCTCTCTCTATCTAACCTATGACTGACCCCACGAGAACGTGCAATCCATGTGGCTGAAATCTTGAAAGCGATTGTGCTATATCCGAAGCATGTTATACATCTACTCCCTCAGGACAAGACTATTGAGCAGAGTTTTTCTGAGCTGAAATTTTACAATCTAATTTAGATTGAACTGATGATTATTTTCATAAAAAGAAAATCGATGCCAACCTGATTGTCCCAAAGCCGTTATTTAATCTTAAATGCTATTTTGTTTTGGATCGCGTGCGTAAGTAATTGAATACATATTTAAAATTTTAGGTCTTAAAGGATTACTTCTAAGTAGGGTTTTGCCTGAGAGAGAGCTCCAATCTATGATCCCCCGGGAGTACATAATCTTTTGGGTAATGAAAAATTAGGAACAAATCATGCTAGAAAGGAAATTAAGAACGAATTTAGAACTGAAAACGACTTGGGGCAAATCTAGACCCACAAAGAACTAGGGGTAGAGAAGTCATTTTCGATAAAATCAGTTGTGCTTTATTTGTCCTTGTTGTTTTAAATAATTCCAACCTACCCTTGCATAGGATGACGTTTTGCTGATTCTCCTCTTCGTCATCTACATGTCATTCCCATAGGGAAAATGGACGGCTGTAATGGAATATTATTCTGAGACCCCATCGATCGTACGATCCACCAAGATATTCAATGCACCTTTCCAAAAATAAAGGTCGAATTAATAAGCGTTGTTATTTAGGTGGCATTTATTCTTGGTCTTGACACGTGGTTACCTATCAAATATGTACTTTTAACCTGAACACTTTTGTTATGTTGAAACTTTGAAATTGCAGTTGACAACTCGCAAAGTGTACCATTAATCCACCATTCACAGGTGCGATCACAAGAGGTCATCACCGTCCATTCGATGGATGGGCAGTGATGGCTAGAGAGTGGAACCCATCATAAACTTACCATTATGTCACTCTCTTACCATCACTATACATAGATTGATTAGAGGGTTATAATACTTAAGGACATAGTTATCGAGATTTAATTAGATTGGCCACTCCGATCAATTAGACTTTCGGTTGGTATCTCCGTTGGTCCGGTCCAAATCCAAACAAAGCCTAAACAAAAATTAGTCAGAGTTAATATTCACTGATTTTAATTTGATCGATGGATTTTGACAAGTTCGACGGATTAAATTAAGTTGGACAAATCCTTTTAATATATTTCAATATTTTAAACAAGAGTAATTCATCAAATACACCTAACTTTTCAAAAATTTGATATTTTACCCTTTTCCAACTCAAGTTTATGTATGTTTTGATGAGTATTTTGAAATTAAAAGTAAAATATGTGTAAAATGTTAAATACTGAATCTCTCATATGTATTTCTTTAAAGAGCATGTATACTATGCTCACTCAGGAGCATTATTTATTTCTACTTCTTCCGTTAAAAGTTCAATATGAAATTTTTGGAGCCATGCAAGAATTACCATATGATTATTCTAAAAAATCAAATTTGAGCTTTCTAATAGATCTTACCATCTAAAAATTAGATAGTCTCCATTCAGCCTCGATGCACTATTTTTTTCAAGTGCGTAGAGTTACAATTAGGAAATTTATTTTATTGAGGTTAATCTATGGGTTGAAGAAGTTACATCCTCAAAATTTAGAGGCCTAAAATTAATTTTAGGTGGGGTTTTACCTAAGGGAGGAAAGGAACTTTCTATTCTCGAGGGAGTAGAATAACTTTTGGCTTTGTTAAATTTCCCTTTAAGCTATTATTTCTATTTTCTTTTGTTGTTCTAAAATGCAGTTGAACCAATTCCGCCATTGATCAGATAGGTTTTGATTGTACCAAAACTTTCACCGGTACGATTGCAGCTCCCATGTTGATAATGCTGCTTAAGACCATCGAGTTTCTATAGTCATATAGGTCATATTACTTAATGGATTTGTTGACATACGTAAAATTTGGACAAGGAAAAAGGCCTCAAATTCACCACTAATGTGAAGGAGCTTAATTATACTTGGGCCAATTGTTTGCCATATATATTACTGTTAATCTGTCCAGCCAAACTTTTAATGCTTTTCATCTTTGGTGGAAAGATATATGTTAAAATGGAAAAAAAATGCATCGACTTCTTTGACCGATTTTTAGGTGACAATGGCCTTGACAAGGTATAGTCATTAAGGCCCTCTTGACATTGTCGGCCCTCTTCAAGGCCCACTCAGCCTCCTAAAGGGAAACGATAGAGAGAGGGCGGGTAGAGAGAGAAAGAGAGAGCGTTGGTGGAGCGAGAGGTAGAGGGAGAAAGTGAGAAAAAGTGTTGTTATAAGAGAGGAGAGAGAAAAATGACATTTTAGTTTTAAACTTTTTGATTTTTGACGTTTGAGTTTATGATGCGATATAAGGTTGATTTTGAAAGGTATCTATAATTTTTTTTTATATTTTATTGGCTCTATCTAGGGTCTTAGCCCCATAACTTCATTTTCTAATCAGATTCAGGTGAAGATTTATAAAGCTGTGGTCCTACAAAATACTTTTTCAGACTTTTTTTCTTCTTCTTAAGGTACATGTGCATATGCTTATCAGACAAGGCCTATCGGCACTAAGAGTTTTAGTTTAGAAATCAGGGAAACTTGTCAAAATATACATAAAGAATTGTATTCACCCAAATAAAATTTAGAGAAGAAATATTTCGCGTCTTACCTATTTTTTATTTAATTTAAAAAATCCTATAACAAAATAGTTGAAAATGGGTAAAATAGTTGATAAGCTAGATGTATTACAATAAATTTCCTTAAAAATTACAAAAAAAGTAGTACAAAAGTACAATTCATTGTCCACCGAGAAATTAGGGAAATAACAAAATATCTTCAATAAGAAATAGAAGTCTTGGAATTTTATATGAAAATCACAATTATATGATGGTTTTCGATAAATATATTTGAAGAGAATAATTAGAAATGATCTTTTGGCTTTCTTGGTGACTTTTGGAGGTCTGAGCTTGTTCGCCATGAGTTTTAATTCTTGTGACTAATCCGATGACAACCTTTTAACCGTGGAATAGTATTTTCATAATTCTAATCCAAATATTTAGTGAATTTTTTAAAGATATTTTTGTATTTCAATTAAGGGGCATACATCGAAGAATCATGTAGTAAGTTATTCAACTAAAAAACTATTAAAGAATGGGGTTGAGGTTGTGGTGGTAGCACCACCCAAACTACGATCTAGGTTTTCATTTTCACCTAACGCATTAAAAAACTGGGTACGGGCTCTTTATCCTTGCTGAATTACCCAAAAAAAAAAAAACCTCAGAAACTATTATTTCAAGGCTAGAAAATGATCGTCTTCACCACATAGCTATTGTTCCCGAAAAAATTGGATTTAAAGCCCTAAAATGTATATATTATGTAACACATTATTAGGATTGTTCATTTCCGAGTGTTCATAGATCCACTAAGTTTGCACTACTTTCTAGTGCTTCAAACTTCATAATTAGCGAAAAAAACCAATAATGCTATCCATCGAGGTATAATTAATCTCAATAAGCCACCATTTGGAGCAAATGGGGGTTAGGGTAGCATATGGCCAGTGGTCCAACCCAGCCCTAAAAATTAGGGTCTGGGTCAAAAAATGTGGCCCAAGGGCTCGTGACGTAAGATTACAGTATGCTCCCTACCGTTGAGTTCTTGGAGAAAAGCCAATGCGCATGCCAATTTCAAAGTCTTCAAATTTCTCAGTGGAAAGGCAGATACTCCCACTTGGTTTAACAACATCAAATATTGAATAATTCTTGATCAATTAAACCATATCGTCAACAACAACAACCAAAGAAATAATTACAAATACATTTTTGACGAATTCTCGGTCAATTAGGAATATAAATATTTTACAATAAAAAGAATGGTATTTTCCCACTTTTTGCATTTAACTCAAGTTTCTATCAAATTGAATCTCACATATACTTTTCATGAATCTAAAATTTGTAATTTTCTTTTTTGTAAGCCTGTATCTATATTGAAGCACTACTTTTTTAAATACAAGCAAGGCATGGAAAAGAAAAATGGGAGAAAATATGATGGAATTAAAGAAGTATTCTTCTAAGAATCTAGAGGCACTTAAGAGAAAATTGTAGAAGAGAGGAAATAACATTAACATGCCATGAGGTATGTATGACTAAAAAGAGAAGGTGCCTAAGAATTATGACTAAAGTTAATGAACCAAGCGCCCTTGGTAAAGTGGTGGTGGAAAAAGGGGTTGGGATCGCGGTCGTAGCACTCCCACACCATAGTCATCGGTTTTTATTCCCACTGATGTCACTCCACTAAAAAACTAGCTTCTAAACTATTTGAAAAAAAGGATAGGGGCCTTTCTTCCCCCATTAAATTACCCTAAAAAAGATAAAAAAACAAAAAAAAAACAACTTAGGGGGATGAGAAATCGTGGAGACAAGTTCTAGTAGCAAGGTATGGATTGGATGGAACTCAATTTTTAATAGGTGAAGGGAAAGGAGATGGGAGAACTTCTTCAGTGCGGAGAGTAATCTCAAAGTGCAAACTATTGGTTGAAAGAAATTTAGGATGGCTAGTAGGA